ATATAAAGTTTATCAAAAAGTATAAATATGTAAAGTAAAAGATTTTAAATTACAGGTCACCCTTGTATAATGTGGTAATTAGGATCCACATTATAAAAATCATTTTATACAAGACACGTTACATAGTGAAAGTAGGTTTACATTCCAAAATCATTTTTTAAATGTAAATTTCATCTATCTAATGGCTGGATGTTTTCATCTGTTGAAATCTTTTGGACATTGCTATAACTTTCAACTTTTTCAGATTTGTTTGCTGGTTTACTTTCCATTAAGTCAATTGTGAGAGTTTAAGTACTGTACCTTATTGCAATTGTTTTCAAAGTTCATTGTATGGTGTTAAACAAATTTCCAATTATCTTTGAAATTTGCTGGAGCACTCAATGGAGAGATCGTTATCTGCAAAAAAAAAATTTTCCTAACTTTCTGCCAAGTCTATATTCTCTCTTAATTTTTTTTAAAGTGAATTCGTTAACAGATTCCTAGAATCTTCAGCTGAACTATTTCCATTGGTATTCTCTATATATTTTGGGTCATTGTCATCTACTACTTGTACCAATTTTTCCCCTTTCAAATCTTTCATTTCATTAATTCACGAATATCATTTTCAACCATATCAAAAAAGCTCTCTCCACCAAAATTATAAGCTATTATATCAAAATTGCATTCTGTAAGTACTGTACTGCAATATACAAGGGTGAATAAAGGATAAACATTGAATTAATCTATTAAAATATAGAAAATAAAATTACTAAATATAATGATAATTCTTTTGCAGCTGATGGTTCAGTTCCCATCCGGGTTTGGACAACCAAAACAACTCGAATGAACTGATGAAAGGGGACACAATTTCAAATCTAGTTTTAAGTGCCTTATAGCTTTATAATAATCTGTGTGAAAATATCTTACTGAGAACTTACTAATGTTTTAACTAGAAAATAAATAATACAGTAAAGTAAAATCATAATGTTTATATTTGAATTCAAGACTTTGTTGAAAAATAATAATAAACATGTAAATATTGAATTGGTTGGATTGTAAAAATAAATCAAAAGAAATTTATAGATTGGATGCTAAATTGATCATAGTTGCTTATAAATCAAATCAAAAATATTTATTGTTCTTACAAATTTTTCTAGTAATTTCATAATTATAATTTCTATTATCATTGCATTTCTTATTTTTTTTTTACTATTTGAAAAATCATTTAATAAATTCTATTGCTCCAACCAATTATTAGTCATGTTTTGTATGCATAAAATTGTTAGGTATATTAGCGTTAGCTAGTAAGAAAAGAAAATAAAATGTGTACTTATTGACTATTTTAGCTTTATAATGTCTTAGACTATATACAATTTGAAGCCTTAAAATCTTGATTATAAAAGGCTTTTGATATTTCAAAATAAATTGTATACAGTCAATATAAAGTTAAAGTTTAAAGTTCTCAATAATTTGTTTGAATTTAAACTTATAGTAGAACTTTATTTCTACAATGTGATTTATTCCAAGTCAGTTTCTAAATACAATCAAAAATATCTTTCATCTACAAACTGTATTCGAAGTACCGATAATAAATGTTGGCTTTGCATTTACAGAATATCTGGAATGCAGAAAATTCTGCTTTTATAAACTAAGTAAATTCATAAATTATGTAAATTCTGTGATAATAAAATTTATGCATAAACCCTTTTGTAATTTTATTATTTTTTTAATTTTCATATATATAATAATTTTTAATGTATTAAATCACTTTGTATGTATAACAAGGAATCCATTTTTTTCAATGAAAATGTTAAAAATTTTAAATACAGCATAAACATTCTTATACAATAATAATATAAAAAGATGAATTTTCTGAAAGGATAAAATATAATTTAGTTTTATGCGAAATACATACTCAGAAAATATTATACTTTGTCATCAGTGATGCACCTAGAAAGGGGCCAAGAAGCCCTGGCATCCTCCAAAGGAAAAGAAAAAGAATACTAGAATATTTTTCAAAATATTTTTTTTAATTAAAATTAATTTTTTTATTCATATTTTGTTATCTTCTATTTCTATACTATTAATGAATTAGAAGTCACATAAGATGGGAATTTTATTGAATTCCATATGAAAAATGTTTTTATTCATTCAACTTTGTTCCCCTCGATTAAATCCTGAGTGCACCACTGTTCGTCATCACTTAGAAAGCCTATTAAGATTCAATGTGTGATATTTATCATATCAAATAATAGAAAATCAGAAGAAAAAGTTTGAATGGGATGGTAATCCAAACTCGTATTTTCAGAGACAGCAAAGAAAAAAACATAAACTTCAAATTATTGCCCCTCTTTTCTCAATTTAACTTATTTTATAGATTTGTTAATGTAAACATTATCACAGCTTTGAAATTAAAGTAATGCTAAGTGAAATAATATGCTTTTATAAAATATTACATTTCAATGCTAATAAAATTGTGTTGTGTAATAATTCAAATTTTGCACCATTTCATAGACATGATGATTGCAATTTCATTGAGGTTTCTCCTTCACTCATGGAAATTCTGGCAAATGACTATCTTCCAACACCAAGACCTAATTTTCAAATTGTAAATATCTGCAAAAATATCTAATTTTTATTGTCATTCAACAACTCTGTCATTTAATATACATGAACACAGAAAATCCATTTAAATTTTTATATTCAATGGAATTGCTAGGTACTTGAATTCCTATTACTTTTGAGATTATGAAAAAGACATGTTTAACATCTTTATTTTTCTATTTTGAATGATTTTATTTTATTTCATGTATACAAGCAATAAGAATTTAAAAACTGTGATATTATATGACAAGGTCTTCTTTCATTAGAAGTATTTTAATAATAAATTTTTAAATTACTTACAAAATATAATTTTTATTTAATAAATTTATATATAGATTTAACAAGCAATTATTTATTGTAACATAATCACAATGCCAGGCTGTAATTTTTAATCATATTTAATTTAAAATGTATGCTCTCCACCTGAAATTAGTTGTCTTGCCCCTGTAAATCATACTTTTCCTTTAACAATAAGGTCCTGTCGGTCATCTAACTCCTTTCAGGGAAAAATTTTTGAATTGAAATAACTTAACTTCCGGATTTCATCGGAAGTAATAAATTATTGCTTCTTTTCAATCAATTTTGGCTTCAGTTTTTCCTCCAATCTTCATTTCCTATGGACGCTAAAGCAAGGACACTCGCATAGAATATAATGGAAAAGTATGATAATCCATTTTGACTCCTGTTTTTCGCATTTTTACGCTCCAGGAGCCCAAAACTAGTAGTACCGAATCCGGAACTGCCCATCTCTAACTTTCAATGATTCGTCAATTTGAGTCCCTGTCAAAGATGCTTGCCCACTTCGCTTCAATAAGTAATGGAAATATAGAGAATTCACACGACTTGCTTTGCCCATATTCTACAAAACTACGTATTATTCGATGTTACCACCAAGTTACATCGAAAATCCTGCAGTTAATTTCCCTGTCAGATTGTTATTGATCATATATGAATCCATAGCAATGATCATTGGATTTGCTCTTATTACGACACAAAACGTATTCGTATATACGATTTTATGAATTATGATAAAATATCCACCAAGCACAAAATATTCTAAGAGATTGCAATTGCACATTATCACTGACATTCCTGGACTTTCCGAGGATACAACCAAATGGAGTTGACTGCTGTATATATGATTAGCTTTTAGTATCAAACCTGATGTATTTCGGTATGATCACGTATAGATCATAAAGATTTGCGATCATACCGTAGATTGTCATGTAATAGTAGGTGTATGAGTTTTATGATGGTCGTTACGCAGAGAATAATCCCTATTAAGGCGTTACAGACGTGGAGAAATCACTGAAAACTCAACGTGACCAGTACGTCCTGGCGATACGAGAACCAACGACCGAACTCCCAGTGTTCAGGAAATGGAACCGCATGGCTACTGGTAAGCCGGATTTAGAAGCGAGTTTTGTGGGATTTTTATATGTAATGCTCGTAAGAGGAATAATTTGACGGCCGGATGGTCGAGCAGTCAAAGTGTCAGCCTACCGCTCTTGGGGACCCGGGATCGAATCCGCACGGGTCACCGGACGAAAAACCCCAGGAATTTTTTGGGGGTTGTTCCGTCTGGATATGTCGGGCCCAGTCCCTCATCACCCGGTCGCCCCATAATGGACCTGCTAAAAAGACCCTCTTAGTGCCTACAGGGCGGAGAGTTAAAGTAAAAACGAATATATTGAGACAAAAATAATATGTAAGCCAGAAATTTAAATTTATATTTCATAATTAATGTTACAAAAAGTAAAATATCTTAAAACGTCTAAATTTTCCGATTTATGATAAAAAAGGAAAAATTCTGAATGTAAGATGAACATCTCGGACCATGGATCCAGTCTTGCTTCATAAAAAGCTACCGATATTTTTAATAAATAAATTCTTATATTTTGTTTTAATATTTATTATTTTTATTATTATATCATAATATTAATTAACAGACGAAAATTTATACATTTTTATAAATGCTCATTTTTTTTATATTCATATTGTAATTTTGAAAGAAAACATTAAAGATAATACAAAATATCAAAGTATAAACTATGCTTTCAACAATTCATATAGAGTATAGTTATATGATAATAACGTTAAAAAACAAGAAATTACATTAAAAAATGTTTTTTATTCTTCCTTGGATGCAACTTCTTCATTGTGATGAGCCTGGAGAATAGCGACTGCTTCGTCTACCTTCGCTTTCAAGGCATCCTGGTTCTCGAGCATATGCAATAGCTCAGAATTATCGATTTCTAGCAACATTCCTGTTAACTTTCCGACTATATCTGAATACCAGCACTGAATGATTGAATACAAACGTTCTCCTAACATTTGCTTCTGTTCTTGAGAATTGGCATTGGCAAGCATGGAAGTGCTCAGAGCTTCCTGTTCTTGGATATAACTTGCAGCTTGTTCAAGAATTGGTGGTTGAACGATGGACGGTGGAGAATTACACATGTTAGCTATATATGTCGGAGAATAAGGCTGCGCAATATTGGCAATTGGTACGGCCACGGGACAGGCCGCAGTAGACGGCTCCACAGATGTAACTCTTGTCGATTCTGTTCTGTTCTGTTGTTTAGTGATAGATCTTCCATTCATATTAGTTGAAATGTGTTGTGTTTTAGTTGCTGTGACTGTTGAATGTAGAACAGGAGAAGCGAATTGTGCGAATTGCATGGCTGAGAATCCATCGACGCGCGGATCACTTTGTCTCAAAGGTGGTTGCGTTATCCAGTTCGACGTAGGTTGCATCTGTGGAATTTGGGTTGGAATATATCTTCCTGCAACTTGCGGCATTGTCGGTACAAAATTATCACCTCCTGCTGGTTGGCACATTTGGTTGAAATATGGTTGCCCGTACATTCTAGCCAGTCTTTGCATGTATTGCGAAGCGATATAAGCTTTACGGTCTTCTTTTCTTTGGGCTAGAGCAACGTAAAGCGGTTTAGAAACAATGATTTTTCCATTCATTTCAGTTATTGCTTTGATTGCTTCTTCGGGAGAACTGAAACAAACAAAGCCAAATCCACGAGAATTGCCACGATCATCCGTCATGATTTTGACACTTGTGATGTTACCAAAAGACGAAAATACTATTCTGAGGCGTTCCTCATCGATGGAATCTTCTAAATGTTTAACATATAAATTGGAACCTTGATAACGACTCATTCGTTCCAATTTTAATCGTTCAAATCTTAGTTTTAATTCCACTTGTCTTTCGGCTTTTTTCTGTGCTCTGCCGACATAAAGCTGTCTTCCACCGAGTTCTTGAGCATTTAATTCTTCTACAGCTCTTTTAGCACTCTCGGAATCTTGAAAATTAACAAATCCAAAACCCTTTGACTTGCCGCTTTTATCGACCATGACTTTAGCACTAATGATAGTACCATATTTTTCAAACATTTCTCTCAGTTTATCATCATCTAGTTCATCCCCAAAATTTTTGATGTAAACATTTGTGAATCGAAGAGCTTTCTCTCCGATTATTTTCTCACGTTCTCTTCGAGGAATGAACTTACCTACGTACACTTTTCTGCCGTTTAACAGCAAGCCATTTATCTTAGCGATGGCATTATTAGCTGCTTTTTCTGTTTCAAAATGCACAAAACCGTAACCTTTCGAGTTACCTTCTTCGTCCGTAACCACTTTACACGACAAGATATTTCCGAAAGCAGAAAATGTATTATACATAGCTTTGTTGTCGATGCTCTTGTCTAAATTCTTGATGAAAATATTTCCAACGCCAGATTTTCTAAGCGATGGATCTCTCTGTAACCTCATTATTCGTATCGGTTTTCCTTTAATTAAATCAAAGTTCATAGTATCCAAGGCTCTATCTGCATCTTGAGGATATTGAAAATTAACGTAGGCATAGCCCAAAGATCTTCCTGTAATCAGATCTCTACATACTCTGATGGAAAGAATTGGTCCTACGGTAGAAAATTTTTCGAAGAGCGTAGTTTCTGTTTCATCTGGAGGCAAATCACCAACGTACAGAGAAGCGACAGATGAATTGGAGCTAAAAGAATTCATTTTCTCTTTAATTGCTGAAACTTAATATCCAGACATTCGACGTTCTCCGAATATATTTAAATTTTTGCTTTTCGTATCATTTTTTATTCTTTTAGAACACGGTTTAACGGTTTATATTCTAAAATCTAAATTAATTTACGACATTCACGTGATTCCACGTATTCCAAATCCAAACTTCAAAGGAAACTTTATTTTCTAGATAATTTCAATATTTTCTCCGTTATTTAGAAATTAAAATAATTATTAACGAAAATTAAAGCCTATTGTTATGTTGTTCTTTGTTATTTTAAAATTGAATTTGTATAAATAAAATTTAAAATGAATTTCTGAAGAAACAATTCAAATATATTGTGATTGTGTGTGGTCAATAAACAGAGTTGGTCTGATGCGAAAGCTTACCGCTGTGGGGAATCGAAAAACCCAAAATTTTTTCGGGGGTGGATTTTTTAAAAACCTTTTCCCGCCTTGTGGGCACTAAGATGGCCTCTTAGCAAGCCAGTATGGATTCGGTCTGGCCCACAACTGGGCTACCGGGCGGTGAAGGACGGGGCCCGACATATCCGGAAGAATCTCCCCTTGAAAAATTCCTGAAATTTTTCGACCCCGGGTTCCTCAGAGCCTTAGGCTTTTACTTTCATGGGTGGTTCATCCAGGATATGTTGACCCGCATCTCATCATCCGAATAGCCTTTTATGGAAGTGCCAAACTCACGATGGACCTGAAACACGCCTATCTTAGTTCTCACGAGACAAAAAGAGTTTAAAAAAAACAATAACAAGCAGCTAAATATGCAATCTATACACAGTTGTAATGAATCATTCCATTTTCTTCCTACTAGATTGCTTGTCACCTAGATCCATTATACAGTATATATATTTACTTAGATGACTTGGATTCCCACTTTATCGCCAACAAGCTATATTTATTAATTGGTCAGATATTTTTCATTAGCTAGCAGAAAAACCGCGACCATTTATGATCAATTACTGGAAGCATACAAAAGTTTTTATGCTTATAATTTTTCTTTATATTAATGTATTGTTTATATGTATCATAAAAACAGATTTTTAACTGTTAACTTGATATTTTTATCAAGTTAGCAGTACCTAAATATTTTAATATTTTATTTTTCTTTTAGAAATAAGTCAAGAACTCTAAAGACATTTAATTCATTAAACATTAGACACTCATATATATTAAAATACAATTACTATAATTTGATCATCATCAAATAATATGTGTAAAATGTTTCTGAATTTAGGTTTATTTCAAGAATGTAGTTATCTTTATCCACTTTCAATGATTAAAATTATTCTAAAAGATTGGTTACTTTTCACCCTTAAAAAGTTTATACATAACATGATATTGACAGTAATTTCATGTGTTATGTTTTTAAATTTGAATAAAGTAATAAGTAACCAAATAATCTTTATCAACTGCAAAAAAATGGAATATTTCCTATTTTATATTTTAATTTTACTTACTATCCTTTTGCTTCACCATCACAAATAGGATCAGGATATCTGTGACTTAGGTTAGGAAACAGTTCTTTTCATATCCCCAACAGTTTTTCTTGTTTAAGTATTTCTGGAATTAAAAATTAATTATAATTTTGTATATATATGTTATATATATATAGCATAAAGTAGCAAAGAGTTTAACAGGATACGTCGTAAAGGCCCGGCAACGAAAGTCTTTTTTGGGGGAGTTACCAAATAATAATGAATATGGTCCGATATACGTCTATTTGACCGGCCTTTTGCAGCATTTGAATTCGAGATTTCCAATTCTTAATTCATTGTTTTAAAAACTTTTAATAACTAAAATGTCTTAGGATTTTAGGCTCTATCAGAGGTATTAATTTACATCTGATATGGAGAGTGCCGATGATTTAATGGCATGAAGGTTGAAAAAAGCGAAATCCTACTCGTGTTTAATATACACCCATATACTGTACCTAGCACCAATCTGCATTATATCTTTAGCTTCTGTTGTCCTATTCTAAAACCCTACAGTAATAGAGAAAAACGGAATGGTTTTAGGCTAAAACTTTTTCCGGCGAAACTTGTGGCGCGATGAGTAATGGCATCAGAACACAGGGTAGTTTTACCCAAGATTTACCCTAGATTTACCCTAAATTTATTAAGACTATCCTAAACATTACCATGAGAGTTTGAAATTACCAAAGAAAAACTCCTAAGAAAAACTTTGACCGTGGTCTAAATTGTCATAAGTATTTACTTGGTGTAATTGTTTTACATCTCAGATCTTTTTATTTGGATTATATTTTTATCATAAAGGCTCTCGTATGTAACTTGGCCTGGCCAACAAATACAAAACATTTTACATCTAATTTTATGACTTATTGTTAAATAAATGGATAAAATTATGCAAGGATATTGCATCTGCGTGGCTACATAAGTTTCTCATTTAATAACGTTATAAACACGAGCAATTATTTATTGTGACATGGTCACAATGTCAGGCTGCAATTTTTCGTCACACTGCTTTCAGTTTTAGTAGTGTGTTGTCTCCGTACATCATACTTTTCCTGTTAACAATGGAGTCACGCCGGTCATCTATCTGACTCCACTCAAGAGAATATTTATGAATTAAAATAACGTGACTTCCGGTTTGTACCGGAAAGTTCAGTTATTATCATAACTGAAGTTTCCTAATTTGTTACGACAGCCCTGTATTAATTTATACTCCTTTCTGTGTTGATAACAGATAGGCATTATAACTGAACAGAAAAAAAACTTAAATTAGGCACCGTGCTAACAAAAAATTTACGAAATTTTTTCCGTTGAAAGTGTCGAAACTATTGCAAGTGACGTATCGATGATTTAAATTGATATAATATTGACAGAATATGATACCGTCTACCCGCTTGAAGGGTTTGATTTATGACGGTTGTTTGGGCTTCTAGGATGTGTACTATTTTCTGTTGGTTTTTCGGATAAACTGTTTATCTGACTGTTCATTGCTTCGACCTCTTCTGATTTGTTCAGAAGAGAAATATTAAAATTTTACCTCTGAAGTCCTCGTTTCGTGGTTAATCTAACCTTTAATTCAATCGCGTAATTTCCACTTTTATCATATCGGAGTCTATTGGTTTCAATAAGGAATATTAAAGAAAGCCGGAGTTGTGACTCAAAGGATTATAGACCCAAATTCGAGGAAAAGAGAAAAACCAAAAGATAAAAAGAAGTGAGAAAGGTTGAATAGACCTTCTGTTATGCAAATACTGTATTGATCCTTAATTTTCCAACCTTTCTTACTATTTTTTATCTTTTGGCCTTTCTCTCCTTTCCTGGAATTTGGATCTATAATCCTTTGAGTCACAACTCCAGCTTTCTTTAGTATTCCTTCCTCATTCACACATTTCCAAGTATTTGAAAATATTTCCTTTCCTCTCAAAAATAAAATATGTAGGCCTATAGAGATTTACGGCTTTCTGAAACTTCTTTTTTGAGTTTATGCCGTTGAAATAAATAAGTAAATAATAAATAAATAAATTTGTCGGTTTTGTTTATTTAGCATTTCTTCCAGTGTTACAAGATTTGGCTACTTTGGGCCAAATTTGGTTACTTTTTTTAGTTGGACTTAAAAAATATCATTTGGAGCATTGACTACTTTTTGGGCTATATATTATTGATAAATATATTAGTCGAATAAAAACGGATCGAAAAAGCCTCAGGAATTTTTCAGGTGGTGGTCAGTCCCGATATGTCAGGACCCGTGCTTCTCATTCTAACGCCCCATTGTGGTCCTGCCCGAATCCATAATGGGCTCACTAAAACATGCCCTGCCCAATAGTGGCCAAGCGGTATCGTTCCCCGAATACTAGGAGTTCGGTCGTGGGTTTGCGCCTGGCTAGGACGGGACGGCCACGTGGAGTTTTCCGGGTTTTCTCCACGTCTGTAACGCCAAAATAGGAGCCAGTAACCCTTAAAACACCTCCCGGAAGGCATTTCCCCCTAAGCAGATCGCCCAAATGTTGCGTTACCGTAATTTAACAAACAACAACAATAAAACTAGTATCCAAGGGCGGGGAGTTTTAAAAAACTCCACACAACAAGTAACTTTTAATAGATTTAAATTTCAAATTAACTTTTTCCATTCAAACCCGTGAATATCGCAGGTTGTCCGCCACTTTGGCTTTATTACAAAAATCGGATCGTATTGAAGAGATGAATTACGTGATATGAAACATAACGTCATTGCTGTACCACCTGACGGCTCCAAACTCCATTATATATGCACCCCAGATGCAAATTTTTAACATTAAATCGAGTCACTATGCAACAATAAAATGCTCTCGTTGTTGAGAGAGAATCTATTGTTGACTCGTGCGATTGTTTAATGCGAGTGCTTTTTCAAGTTTTGCTTCGTTTGCAGAGATTGTTTAAAGTGATGTAAGTTTACACTATGATCTTTGTAGATTTAAATACTCTTTAACTTTGATCAGCAAAATATCACAGTTGGCGGCGATGGGTTTCGATTAGAATTGATCGATTTCCTTCGGATGATTCGCATCTTTCCATTGTTAATTTTCCAATGGCAAAATAAAAATTAATAAATAGCCTATTTTAAAATCTGTTATTCCCCGCTATAGTTTATAAATTACATACGTATATATATTAATATCCCATATGAATTTTGTCTGAATCTTAATTAATTAACATAATTCCTCTATTTTCGCAGTTGTTTTGTGTTACGGCACGGCAGTCACCAGAATAGTTCAATTTTTATAAACTAATTCCTCTATCGAACATTAAAAATGGTCGAAAAGATTAAAATTATTATATATAATAATATTCTTTTCTAACAGGAATTAATCATTTTTGCATTAGAAATTTACAATTCAGATTAGAATAGGAATATTTCTCAATTAATTCTCTCATTTTCCTTGGCAGAATGGAGAATTTCAGAGAGTTGAAGAAGTTGCACATCTCGGACAATGCAGAGTCCGAGGATGACGCCTGGTCTTGGCCAGGTGTCATAAGGGTGCTTCCGAA